ACCTTTAGCCCCCCCCCCCCCCCCCCCCCCCCCCCCCCCCCCCCCCCTGGACCGATTTTCAAATCCCGATTTCTCAACATCAGAGAGTCACAGCGCCGAGAAAGGAGACGTTGAAGCTGTCCTATCGAGAGCTTGCCAAACATATGCTTTTTCATTTATGCATCCTCTTTGACAAGGCGTAATCGAGCTTTGAGAATTATTCCAGGGGGTGTGTTATCTTGTGTCATACGATAATCGCCATATACGATAATCGGGCTGTGAGAAAAGGTCCAGGGGTGTGATATGGGGTGTGATATCTTATTGGCACCTACGGACGGTATTACGATCAGGTAGATGCCGTGCATGAAACGGAAGCACGAGAGACGCGCCGTGGGTTATTCATGACGCAAGTTGGTGTGCTGTGGGATTCCGTAATCCTCGCGGTTCTCATGGTATGGTTTTCCGCAACACGCGGAATGCTGATATCGCGGAAACCCGCCAGATATGTTCCAAAAAATACAGCAGTGCGAGCATCTCTCCGGTCAATATTTGGTGTTCCATATCTCGTTATTTACTGCTGCTGTGGTGGCTACACGGAATATGTTCAGGCGGGTGAGACGAACAGGGTCTCGTCCGCTCCACGGCTCTACACCGTTTCACGCCGGGACGTGACGGGGGTAGTAGGCAGTAGGTGCACATGGGGCATAGTTTCGGAGCCAGCCCATGGTAAGCCAAGAGGAAAATAAGAATTTTACATTTACCCATGGAACTTTATCCATTTTGTCCGATGCACCAATGGCAGCACTGTACCTTGAGAGCGGCGAGCTTGTACCCCTTCTTCTCGAAGCGAGCGATGATCTCGCCCACCAGGTTGCGCTGGACGCCGTCAGGCTTGATCATGATGTAGGTGCGCTCCATGGTGCTGTTGGTTTTTCAAAGGAGGTAATGAAGAATTTGAAACGCAGCACGCACCAGCAGCACATCACATGCCAGGTGTAGCGGTGAAGGGAGATGCACAGGAGCGGGGAATATTTCCGAGTTGTCATCGACTGCAGCAGTACCTTCCTCTTCATCTTGGTCTGTTGGACCCACCATCTTGGCTCACTGCTGCTGCGATACTGCCTGCTGCACACCGCCATGTTCATCGTCATTCGCGCCTGCGAACTCTCTACATGGTTGGTATACGAAAAGGATGCGTGTTGTACAGCTGCCCTGATCTCACGAGGTATCGTGTCCGCGAGGGAATGCACTGGTGGGGTAGGCATACAGAGTTGCGCTACCTTCGACGCAATATGGTCCACACACACGGACAAAGAGACCACTGGGAAAATGTTCTGATAAGATCTGCCAATCAGGCCGAGAGCGAAGCCAAAGTGCAGCAGCAGACGGGCAAGATTTGCCGATTCGGCGAGAATATCACAGCAAGGCTAGTTACAGGTACCGATGCTTACCTTGTTGGAGGGGGTGAGAGAGACGAGACGGGGAGAGAGAGGGAGGGGGTCGGTGTGGCAGGGTGAGGACAACGAGAGCAGGAGGGGGACGACAGACGACAATCGGCCGCGAGACGATTGGAAGGGGGTATGTGGGTAGTTGTGAGAGAGAGCAGACAGCGGAGCCCCTGCAAGGGGAACCAAGCTCAAGCGCGCGAAGAGTTAAAGCTAGCTCTGAGGCCAACACAGCTGTGGTGCAGGACAGTCAAAGCCTCCCCCCTGGTGTGATTGTGCACAAGGTGAGCGATACAAAAGAGATGGTGCAATGGGTGTATGGAGTGCAAGGGTATTGGTCGCGGCGCATCTTGTCATCTCAACGTGACTCGGAACTCATGCGCGTTGGGAACCGTTTCATGCCAGTCCTTGTAGTCTCAAGGTATCTCGGCCACTGGTGCTGGTGGTGTGTGTGTGTGCTACCATGTATGTTAGGCCTCTAGGAACGGACGCTTGCTCCATCGCTGTTTCGCCATGCTCTGTCGCTCGGGTATGTACGTCGTGTTGTTGCAGAGTGCAAACTTCTGTCTCAGCTCGCTACAAGTTACTGCCGTAGGCGGTAGAGTAATTTATCCAAGGCTAGTTCCGTCGAACAGGCGGCGTTGGCAGCGTTTGGCCAAAAGCCTTGAACTCCGTATAACTGCTGCTCCCAACCAATCAACCGCCTTGGTTTGTTGGGATGCTCTTCTTGGTGAACGAGGAATGCTTCATATTGTTGGCAGCGCGACAGCCTGGCATCTACAGCAGGACAGCAGTATTTTGACAAAAAGGACCCCGCCGCCCTTGGCACATCAATCTTTATTTAGACTTGGAGTAGCTGTCGAAGCATGTACAACAACTTCGCGGTCTTCCGCCGGGTCTGACAGAACATGAAACAGCGGCATCTTTTGCATAGATAGATACCTCCGAAGGGGCGGCGGTCTAGCAGCCACCGCTTGCCGTCGTCGGTTTTGTGTTCCTGATGGTACCGGTGCAAAAGTTGTCTCGAAGTTAGCTATGCATACGTTTGACGCTTGACTGCGCGTGGGCTCTTTTTATTCTGCATGGTTTTTATATTCCATTTTTTTTCTGCCGTCCGTCCTTCAACTGCGGATCACCTGTACACAATCAGGAGGACGAGAAAAAACGCGGAAGCAGCAAGAGGACCGCCGCATATTCGGGCTTCTCGATCGATCACACGAAAACCGTACCCGAGCAAGTGCCACAAAAGCAAGTAATAGCGTCTCTTGCTCTGGAGTTTGGGGAGCGAGAACATGGCGGCGTTCGGGCAGTCCGGCAAGCAGGTGGACCTGCTGGACCTCGGCTTCGACTCTGTTGAGGTCAGTGCAAGATTAGGGAAATAGGATAGGGCAATAGCGGCCATGACACCAAGCACAACAGAGCTGGCTCTCATCTCAACCCTCCCCCTTTCATTACGACGACGAACAGACTAGGGCATCAAAATCCCGTTGCCGGTGTTCTGGTGTACTTCTTCGTACTGCATGAGAACCATCCGAGGGTGGGAGCACGAGGGGGAAAATGTAAATCCAAACTGATTCACATTTCTCCGTGAGTGTTTTACATGTAGTGCCTACAGCTACGGGACAAACGTAGACAAATGGAACGTGAAAGACGAAGACTATCCTTGGATTTACAAAAGCTGCTCCTGCTACTCGCGCAAAGGCCACGGAGGTTGTGTGTACAGTCGACCCCGCTTTAAGGACGCTCCCGTTAAGGAAACTCCTCGCTTAACTTGTTTTGCTCAGCACCAGGGAGCCCAGCCGAGTATACGATAATGGGGTACCCCCATTTTTTATGTCGCGTACCCCCCTTGGTTGTGTCCTGCGGACTCTGCGGACCGCTCTTTGCACGCACCACGCACCACAGTGAGAGCAGAAGTAGCGACGCACAGACAGCAGAAGTAGCGAGCGGTCTGGTGCTGCAGCTGCAACTGGGTGTTGCTATGGATAGGTTCCTCCCATTAACCGGCGGTCCATCTGATGCCGCCATAAGAAGAGTCTTGCGTAACATCGTCCCTCACCGAGGGCGAGGTTACCTCTCGCTTGGAGGACGTTCGATCCTACAGATACCGCCCGCAGTTAAGAAGTCAAAATCGGATTGAGCCTCAATCCCTTCTTTTGGGTCGAAGTACCGGCCCAAGTCGTCCATTTCGTAAATGGCATTTCTTATTCCTTTGGACTGTCGCATCCTCCCGATTCTCTTATTCCTTAGACTACAATAAGTAGTTCGTATTTTCTTGTTTCTGTTTTGTAATCTCTGAGGACAATCCACATCATCAAGCCCTCAAGAGAGTGCCATCAAACCCGTACAACGGCGGAGAGCATATGGTTAATGTCCGCGATGTGTGGCAGTACTACAGTACAGCGCTCACTGTGAACAGCAGGGGCGCGGGGAGGCGGGTGGGGGGGGACTCTGCCCCCCTACAAATAATGCACTTGTGTTAAGCTTGGGAGGGGGTTGGGAGTACCACAGATTTCTGATGTCATGGGGGTATCGCACCATCACGTTTCTTATTGGGGCGTTGCTTACGTTGTGGCCGAGATTGAGCTATTTTTCTTAGCTTTGCGTATTTTTCGTACAAACTTGAGCCTTGTTTCTGAACAGAATGTTTCTTGACTGCGGGCGCTACCTGTGTTTGTACGCGAAGGAAAGGGGTGGCGAGTACCGTGAGACGCAGTACCTTCTTTCGAAGACCGTTCATTCGTTTGCTCATGAAACTCAACAGAGCCGTAGAGCCATGCCGCGGGGGGAGGTTCAGGGAACTCTTCGCGATATATATGTGGAAGGAAAAGCCATCAGGGTAGCTTTTGGTCTCCACCGGGACAGTGATAGGTAGTGGTTTTCCTCGGTGCGACGCTGAAGTACGCTCGTTTTTCTTTTGCTTCACAAGAATGAGATAAATATATGTCTACTTGGACTTTCCTCCTTCCTCCGCTGCCGGCTATGCAGTACATTAGTTGGCCAAGTACAAACTGGTGTGCTGTAGTTGTTTTCAACACGTCCCGAGTGCTGTAAATCTCATCTCAAGTATTGTAAATATGTTCGACGTCAACAAACGGTTACCAGTCGTCTCGGCGATGCTGACTTTTCCTACCACCCCCTCCCTTAGCAAAAGACGCGTAGTTGAGGGATAGCATGCCTCCATTGGCCCCGGGGATGGTGAGCTATGGTCCCCTGAATTTTAAGGACGCAACCCCGCTTGAAGGACGTTCTTTTTCAGGAAAAACCATGTGCGTCCTTAGGGCGGGGTCGACTGTACAGCCTAGGATTCACTCGCCACCGAGGGGCTACGAAGAACAGTGCTTGCAGACGTGTAGTGTTGTGGTGTCACTATCGCTGCAGCAACGCAGCGGTAGTAGCGCCTAAGAGGAAGGCCCGGCAGGCAATCAACCTTTGTTCTTTCCACGGTCGAATCGAATCGACGATAGAGGACCATGCTCTGTGTGTTTGTCGGAGCATCACCCCGTTCAGGGGCCCGGTGGCTGCGAGTAAGGTTTTTCCAGGCCCCACCCTCTATCACGATGTATTATCAACAGCGGTGCTTCCTGGCCGTGCGTTGGATGTTGGTGTTGACTTTCTATCCGGCCTCTGCTCGAATGTCATCTGCTCTTCTTAGCTGTTGTCGCCGTAGTTTGGCTGTTGCTGTAGCAGGTGTTGGTGTTCATGTTGGGGTGAAGATGCTGGCTTTATTTTCCCTCTTGTTAGACTACTGCTGTTCATGTACCGGTGTGGATTTCGGTGTCCGGGTTCGTCCAGATCGATGGTCCAAGCGACGGAGCTACCGACAGCCAGGCAGGCGGCGCAACAAATGAGGGTGGAGGGGGTGCTGGCCAAGGGCAACCCGCGTCGCTGTCGACCATTTCCTTCAACGCTGCGGACGAAGCGAGGCAGCAAGAGCAACGATCATCCGGTGAGGAGGAAGCATGCACACTTCGGTGCCATCTTTGTAATGCAGCACAACATCTATCTGCCTTGGATGCTGTCAATGGTGTTCTGGGTTAGCCTGTCTATCGTAGCCTTACGGATGCCCACGTGTGGACGACCGCTGACGAAGCGAGGTAGTTGTATTGCAGGGCTTTAACAGCAGCATCCCATGGCGGAGGCACACGGCGCCCCTGCCGACGAAGCGAGGTGGTGTTTTTGCAGAATGTGGGCAGCAAGATCCACGGGGGAGGCACGCGACAGCCCTACTGACACGGCAGCCTGACGACATTCCTGTGAAACCGCAGTACAGTTAGCGCCCACACCTTAGAACCCCTGGTGTTGGTCGAGGCCAGGGTTCTTACTTCCTAAGGTTAAGCTACAAATGACCACTATATGTATGTTTAGTGTAAGGGTTCTTAACCGAGCTCACGAATTGTGCTCAAGTTCCTGTATTCTGAGTTATTCGAGGCTATATCAGTTTCTTAACTGTCAGGTTCTTAAGTGCTTTAACAGCGCTAACTGCTGTACTTCTCCACAGCGGCCCTTGGTCCTTGCTGTGTGTTAAGGTTAACTGCCGGGGATGTATTCGGTTTCCCATTCGCAGCGGCGGTCTAGCTTGTACTCGACCATGTTTGTACCGACATTGTGGAGTGGAAAGCTTGTCCAGCTTAGCGCTGTCGAGCCCATCTGTCCAAACCCCGACGGTAGCGGGTGCCCTTCCTTCACCACTCCTTCGTGTTGGAGGGGGCTGCCCATCACACCGCGTGTGTAGGGTGTGAATGTACCAGTGAGGGCGAAGAAGACGGCATGTGTAGGCAGCACCACAGCATCAGTGAGCCGAGGTCCTTGTTCAAGATAGAAGCAGGGAGGAGGTGGTTCATGGCGACTCGGGAATGCCCTTGAATGCTTGGTTGTCAAGGGACTCTGTTGAGTCGTGGAATATCGCCACGTTTTCATGATGAACCATGCGTTTTATTCAATGCTCAATCTTGTGCTTACATCAGAGACGTCTCACGGCGGATCCTTCCTGGACAACCTCACGGACCCTAGGGCTAGCGCAAGGGAGTACGACGTAGTCTTCGGCCTGAGCGGGGGGGCTAGCGGCCGGCCAGATCTCGGCCTCACGATGCAGGCCGATTACTACGGGAACCAGGCCATCGTTAAGGGCTTCTCGCTTGTGGATGGGCGGGTGAGTGTATGTCAGTCCTATCGAATGCTTCTCTCGCCGTGATAAATTGGTCGCCAGTTGCGCCAGCACTGTTGACAGCTTGTGTTTTGGAGGTCATGGTGGTGTCGTGCCAAGCTGGCTACTTTCAGGCAACAAACGGCCTATGGTATTCGCGCGACTGACGATGAGTTTGTCAAGGTGAGAGAAGCATTCGAGAGGTTTCAAGCCCGTCGCTCGTTACCTCAGAAAACAACACGCCTTCCCACCCAAGCCTTTCTCTCGACCGCTCATGCGTCTGACCCAAGCCACAGCAGAAATAATCACCCTCGATCTACGATGGAATGTCGCAAAAGGTTGTGCACACCGCCCGGTCCTCCACCGACAACTACACCGACTTTTATCCGTCCCACGCTGCTCTGGTCTGTGTGGCCAGATTGGACCGGCACAGGCGTCTGGGCTTATATGCGTGGGGGACGTTCTGGTCGCTGTGGGCGGCGACCGAGTGAAGGGGTTGAGCTTTCCGAGTATTCTAGGTGAGATTGTGCATCTGCATACGTGCCTTGGGAGTATCGAGTTATTGTGGTACAGCTGTACGACGCGAAACGACCGTAATGGACATGAGAGCGTGTGTACTTGTGTGGTGCTTCGTAGCCATCTGGAGGGGTTTCGCGTACCGGGCTCCGAGAAGGTTACCATAGGTGACGTAAGATATCACACCCCCTGAACCAATTTTCGAAGCTCGATATCTCGGCAGGAAAAGTAGTGGCGGTGCCGAAGATGGCGGCTTTGGAACCGTCTCGTCGATAGCTTTCAGAAAACGTCTACTCCAATATCGGCATCCTCTTCGTCGTGGAGTAATGGAACTTTGAAAATTGGTGCGGGGTGTGATATCTTATGCAACCAACGGTACAATTGTAGTCATTCTTAAGTGGGAAAGGTGGCGAGAGAGAAGGGCTTGGCTTTCCGAGCACGTTTGGTGAGAGAGCGTTGTCCACCTAACAGCAGTAGTACCGTCAGGTGCCAGGTGAGATGAAGCGCTCCATCCACGGTCCAACCTCTCCGTGGGCGGTCATTGGAGTGGTGGAAGATGTGTTTAGGACGTGACGGCGTTGAGTGACGGTCGCAGAATACTCCGAGTACTCGGAAAAATACGAACGCAGAAAGATTCCCCGTTCGAGGTGTAACCACAGCAGTCGAAGGGGATGTGTTGAAGTCTTTGCAGTGAGTGGAGGGAAACCCGCTGGGTACTGGGCTTATTTTGAGTCTGCTTTACGCCTATGCACTGATTATGTCAGGCACGAAGCGGTGACCTATTGTTGACAGTGGTGAAGGTTTTGAGCCGGTATAGTGTATTGGGGGAATGGGATTGAGTAATAATGTCGGAGGAGTTCTCGGATGCGGTTGAGGGGAAACCACATCAAGAGGCAGTACTGTCAATCCTCTGATTGAAGTGAACCGTGTTCTAGAAGAGGTGAGACCACTTCATCAAAGCTCTACAATCCTTTCCCCCTACGGGAGCTATACAGGAGACCGTTAAGGAGCGGGGATAGACAAGTCCCTACCGTAACTGTACCCTATCCCTTACCCCTAAACCAACAGGAGTTACGAAGAGACTTGCCAGGAGCGGTACTACACTGTTGCCCTACCCTTAAGCTCATATATATTCAACCGTTGCTGTACCCTATTCCTAACCCTACAGGAGTTGTACGGGAGGCGTGTCGGGAGCGGGGCCAAATTCGACTGACTTTCACGGCCGGAACCGGGGAGGAAAGCAAGCCAAGGGCGGAGGACAGGTGAAGGCGGGTTAACACAAACTGAAAATACCCTGTTCGAGCTCGTCCTTGCCGAATCGCTTGTCCTCGTCTCTAAGGACAGGTGGAGGGGGCGTTGGTTTGAACACCAAGACCCTCTTCGAGATTGCCTTCGCCGCAATGCTTGTACCCGGTAGTCAAGGCATGACCTCAGGTAGTCGTTGAGAAGTCGACCTCGTAGCTCCTTCTGGTCTTGGCGCTCCGTGGCATGGTGGCACCGCGCCTCAAGCCCCGGCGTAAGAGGACTGGCGCACCTTGTTGGCACCTTTCTTGATGGACATAGTACATCAGATGTTTTTGCTTGGTAAGCTTATTCCAAAACGTGCCGTGCGTTTTTCTGTATGCCATTTCTCTAAACTGTTTCATGGCAACGTGGTGACGAACTAAAATATGGGACAACGAAAACGCCGGGAACATCACGGGAATATGGCGGCGGCTTGGTGGAACGATGGGATGGATGGTGGGATGGTGGGATGGAGAACAGCGAGATGCTTGAGGCGCGATGGTTTATACACCAGCAGAAGGCTCGCTACTACAGACCACCGCCACCGTCGGAAGACATGGTGAGAAAAAGAAGAAAGAACAAGCACAAACAAAACGAAGGACAGGAAGCGGTTTCTTTGCGGTGGCGTCTGCTGCACGGGGTTACAGTCGACCCCGCTTTAAGGACGCTCGTGTTAAGGAAACTCCCCGCGTAAAGGAAACTTGTTTTGCTGAGCACCGGGGGCCCGGCAGAATATACGATAATTGGGTACCCCCATTTTTTTATGTCGCATACCCCCCTTGGTTGTGTCCTGCGGGCCTGCGGGCCGCTCTTTGCACGAACCACGCACCACAGTGAGAGCAGAAGTAGCGACGCACAGACAGCACAAGTAGCGAGCGGTCTGCCGCTGCAGCTGCAACTGGGTGTTGCTATGGATAGGTTCCTCCCATTAACCGGCGGTCCATCTGATGCCGCCATAAGAAGAGTCGTGCGTAACATCGTCCCTCACCGAGGGCGAGGTTACCTCTCGCTTGGAGGACGTTCGATCCTACAGATACCGCCCGCAGTCAAGAAACGTCAAAATCGGTTCGAGCCTCACCAATCCCTTCGTTTGGGTCGAAGTACCAGCCCAAGTCGTACATTTCGTAAATGGCATCCCTTCTTCCTTTGGACTGTTGCATCCTCCCGATTCTCTTATTCCTTA